TCGAGGCTATGCCTGCAGTAGATGCTCTTCTTGAGCTGGGCGAGATGTCCCTTAAAGATTCGGCAGTGCCTTGAAGGCAGGCGATTTGGCCGAATTGGTCATTGTAAGACCGGACGAGGAGATAAACTCGTCATCACTTCTGGATGAATCTGTCTTAGAGGACACCAAAGAGTGCTGAACGCACAGAGTGGATCGTCGATCCTACGGAATCCCTTGGATCTATACTATCCTTTGGTAAAGGAATTTCTAGACGTCGTCTTCGAAGACCCACCTTCCGTCCTACATCCGGACCGTGGTGTCGTCATGAGATTGACCTGGTTCCGGGAACCATTTACTGCGTAACACGTCAATGGCCCCTGCCCAAAAAGCAGTGCGACGTCATTGATGCCTTTTTCCGCGCGAAGCACAATGCAGGGATGATGCGTGAGAGCAAGTCTCCCCATTTAAGAGTGAATGACATTTCGCTGATAGCGGTAAGCAATCCGAGCCCAAGCTCTGTTAGTGGCTGGTCATGCCTTAAGCGCTGCCAAATACACCAGCAACAATTCGTCGTCTTGTGACGCAGTTGTTCAGGCCCCACAGGGTATGCACAGACATACTTTGACGACATTTTTGTTCACAGTCGTTCGGAGCACGGGATGACGGATGAGGAGAGCCGCATCGCCCACTAAAGAGCTGTGCACGTGTGCATGCGTACGAACAAGGTTTACGCCAATGCAGACAAGTGCATTTTTGGTGCAGAAGAGATTTCCATCGAAGGGTGCTTTATTGGGAAGCGTGGCCTTCGAGCGGATAGCGCTAAGGTTAAGGCCATTGTAGACTGGCCTGTGCCGAAAAACCAGAAGGACTTGCGTAAGTGGCTTATGGTCGCCAGCTACTTGCACAAGTACAGCGTAAACTACGCAGAAATGGCCCGGCCATTATTCAACTTCCTTAAAAAGGATGCGGAATGGTGTTGGAACACCGAACATCAGGAGGCTTTTGACGGAGTCAAAGAAAATTTCCTGCATGTACCAATACTGGCGCTGCCAGACCCTGATCGTCATTTCAGCGTCGTCTGTGACGCATCGGACTTTGCCATCGGCTGTGCACTGCTGCATGTAGACGCCGAGGGGTGAGATCGGGTGATCGCGTTCGAAATTCCTCCGCTCAAAGCTGCAGAGAAGTACTCCCCAGTTCATGACAAGGAGCTACTTGCGATGAAGTATGCACATGTCAAGTTCAGGGTCCACCTGCTCGGCCCCGAGCCGTTTGAAAATCTACACAGATCATGCGTCATTACGCACTGCGACTCAGTCGCCCCACCTCTCGTAAAGGATGGCTAGATGGCTGTCCTTCTTTGCGAAATATAACTTCGATGTGACGCATATGCCGGGAAGGCAGAATGCTTTGGCTGACGCGTTGTCACGCAGACCAGACTATAAGCTTGCTCATGTTACACCTGTAACATCGTTTGTGACAGATTTGATCCGCACCGCGTATGCGGGTGATGAGATGTGTGTAGCGTTGCTACGGGCTTTAGGGAGCAAGGAGTTTGGAAACTCGGACAAGAAATTGTCACAAAGACTGCGTGCATGATTGCACCGATATTCGCTGAATAACGGCTTGCTATGTCAAAGCACCGATTCAACGGATACACAACGAATTGTGGATCCTTATGATGGGATTTTGAAATATCGCATTCTCTATGAGGCTCACGACACGCCACTCAGTGGTATCTCGGTCGTGAGAAAACGTACATCTCTGTGAGTCACCACAATTTGAGGCCCAAGCTGAACAAATGGACGAGCATCTATGTGCGCACGTGTGAGACGTATCAACAGGTAAAACCCTCTCAAAATGTGACTGCGTCGCTGGCCAGCTTACTGGTATCCACTGGACGCTGGTAGTTCATGAGTTTGACTTTGTGTTTGGCCTGCCGAAAGATTCGGCGGGCAACACCGGTGTCGAGGTATTTATCGGCCGGTTGAGCAAGATTGCTCATTTGGCGGCGGGTACAGACACCAGCGACGGATTCGGTACAGCAACGCTGTTCGTGGATAGTGTTTTCCGACAACACGGACTCCCAGAGCCGATTGTCTCTGATAGAGACCCCCGTTTCACGAGATAATTTTGGTCGAATATCTATAAGGTGCTAAGCACGAAGTCGGATATGTCGGCAGCGGATCATCCACAGACCGATGGTCAAACCGAATGGGTGAATAGCGTCATCAAAT